TGTGTGTGTGTGTGTGTGTGTGTGTATGTGTGTGTGTGTGTGTGTGTGTGTGTGTGTGTGTGTGTGTGTGTGTGTGTGTGTGTATGTGTGTATGTGTGTGGTGTAATCCCAGCACAAGTTGCTATGTCTAACATCGCTGTTCGCTATCATCGCTTCCCCGATGGGCATGTCTGAGTCTCAGTCTGTGTGTGTGTGTGTGTGTGTGTGTGTATATATAAGTGTGTGTGTGTATAAGTGTGTGTGTGTGTGTATAAGTGTGTGTGTGTGTGTGTATAAGTGTGTGTGTGTGTGTATATAAGTGTGTGTGTGTATAAGTGTGTGTGTATATAAGTGTGTGTGTAGGGGGGGGGGGGGAGTGTTGACGTAGGGTGTGTATTGAAGCCTATGGATGAATAAGATGGACACCAATGCAGACAAGATGAAAAAAGAAGAGACAGAGACATACATATAGGTAGATGGGGAGATGTGTCAAGTCACTCTAGCTATAGCACAAGTATGCGTTGGTATGCAATAATAATACCTCTGTGTGCAGGAACCTGAGCGTCAGGGCTTTGTGTTTGTATTGTGTGTCTACATGCACCAGATACTACCCCCGTACCAATCCAGTCGGACTCTGCTACGCATACCGGGAATGTCACCCGTACTAATACACCTTCAACCCGGTCAGGCAATAGCGCCGGGGCAGCTGAGAATGCCGGTAAGTGACAAACTGTGGGTTCGTTGTTTCCTTTCTCTTCCATTGAGATTTGACAGCAGGCCATGCCAGGGAGTATACAGGAATTCACACGGCTCCAGCATTGTCTTGTATGGACCAGGGAGTAGTAAAATACTGGCATTTTACTACTCCCTGGTCCATAATTATGAACACGCTCGAGAATTCTCGATGCTATAATCTCATCAGGTCATTTGTTGGCGGCATGATGTGGCCCAGCTCCTCAGCAATGGTCTCTGCCACCTGAGTGTCTCATACGGTGGGGGGAGACCACAGTTGCTGTACTGATGGCACGTATGTTGCTGCAGCTCACGCAAGGGCTGGCTGAAGTTGTAAGGTTTCTGGATAAACGCATATCGGCTGCCCCAACTTTAGCTTTGGGGCTTATTTATATTCTTTTTGTTTACTTTGATATTTGTTGGTTTAATATGACCTTCATTAGCCCGTGAAAGAGGCATTATGGCCTCCAAATTCTGCCCATTTTCTGCCAGCATTCTCCGCCGAGGGCTATGGACATACCGTAAAGTACCGTTGATCCACCCCCACGCCATGTCGCTTCCCAGCTGGGTTTTCGGCAGGGGGCGGGAATTAGATCAAGGCTGTCAAGTGCAGTACGATGTACAACAACGTAGAGGATCAGACTCAATGTGCTGGCTTGTGCACATTTTCATCCTGGATTGGCAAGTATTGTGTACAGCAGTGCATGCGTCGGTTCAACATCGTATTTCGTTGTATACGCCAAAGTCGCTTCACAAGGAGAAAATCGACAGGGGCGGGAATTAGAGAGGGGGCGGATCAACGGTACTGTACGGTAATTGTGTGGTGTACCGTGTGTGTGTATGTGGTGCTGTGTTACTATACAACGACTGTCCATGCATGTAAGTCTGAGGGAGTGAGAAACTGGGAAAAAGCCTGAAGAAACAATTGATTGTCACCAGCAGAACTCGAATCAGGGGCCCTCGCAACACAGTTAGTATACAATCATGTACAATCATGTACAATGCACAATCATGTCACGTGACAATGCACAATCATGTCACGTGACAATGTACAATCATGTCACGTGACAATGTACAATCATGTCACGTGACAATGTACAATCATGTCATGTGACAATGTACAATCATGTCACGTGACAATGTACAATCATGTCACGTGACAATGTACAATCATGTCACGTGACAATGTACAATCATGTCACGTGACAATGTACAATCATGTACAATGTATCATGTAAGTACCGGTAAGTCACTATAGCCAGCAATGCGCCAACCACTGGGCCATGGACATGCATCGCGCAGCAGCGACTGTTCACCAGTCTCTTCACGGCTTCAGACTTCGAAACTCACGCTATACCAGTGAACCTACACTGCACACAGGCTGTTCTAACCTATCTAGGACGCAGCAATGAGCGCAGTAGCTGTGTCACAGTGTGTGAGATCCTCATGCTGTCATAGTGTCATACATATGTACATGTGCCACATGTCAACGAATGACACTTGTGTGATTTACACTCGTCAGAACCCTGGACTCTGGCTGGAACATAGCTACATTATTGTACACATGACATGTATATTATGTGTGTGTGTGTGTGATGCGCAGGCACCAAAATCCAAACAGGAAAAATGACAGAGCTGGCGGGGGACAACGATCTAAGACTAAGACCAAGTCCAAGAGCCGCTTAGGTGGATCTACAAAGTACATGACATTGTACATGAGTCAAAATGCTGGCCCCCATGCTCAGGACAGACTAGACAGTAGGCTCAGATTCAGACCAGTGCATGCATGCATGCACGGTGACTTCATGTGCACCAACTAATGACATGGCGTCCTTTCATGCGGTTTACCGCACAGATTTATGAAGTCGGACATATTCCGATTTATTTGCATCAATCGCACAAAATTAGGTACATTTCTCTTGTAAACCCTGTCAGTTTGAGAATTTAGACAAACATCGAACAAATTTTAGCCGCGACGAGGATCGGGAGAAATCCATCATAATTATTTTACATAGCTACTACCATGTACCATCACGTCGACCGAGTGAAGATCGAAATGATAATGGAGTGGAGAGAAGAAGACCTGAACTAGAGTGCTTGAGAGACTATGTAGTGTCACATGAGCTCTTGCAACTGTACCGTGCAGCAAGAAGAGAAGGCACGCTGCTTAACAAACGCCTAAAGAATCAATATTTAGTAAGGGAGTTCTCAGACTGCCGAAATGATCCTCGCCGCCAATGGAAACTGCTCAACAAACTCCTTGGTCGGAACACCACTCCAACACCTCTCAAAGCCGACGTTTCCAGCCTCACCAACTTCTTTGGATCGGTCGTCTCTGACCCAGAGCGACCCCCTTCCCTGCAAATCCCCCAAGGCCCCCGACAGCTCACCAGTTTCGCAAATTTCACCCCTGTCACTACCACTGAAGTCTGCAAGCTCCTCAAGAAGATCTCCCCTTTCAAATCCACCGGATCCGACGAACTCCCACCCCTTCCTCTGAAGATCTGTGCAGAAGAACTAGCCGGTCCCCTCTGTCTCATTTTCAACGAATCACTCTCCCTCGGTTCCTTTCCAGACATATATAAAGTAGCGTCTGTATTCCCCCTCTTCAAGAAAGGCAATCCAGAATGTCCCTCTAACTATCGCCCCATATCTCTACTCCCCATCGTATCCAAGCTTCTAGAAAAGATCGTCCTTCATCAACTGCAGCGCTATATCAACACCCACCCAGAGCTCAACATTCTTCCTCCCCAACAGTTCGCCTACCGCTCTGATCATTCCACAGAGGATGCACTTTCACTGGCTATATCAAAGTGGCAACAACGCTTGGATGACGGTCAGAACACCGGAGTGTTATTCTTGGATATGAGCAAGGCGTTCGACCGGGTCAAGCACCAGCCACTCATCAACGAGCTCTACTCCTGCGGTATTTGTGGCACAGCACTGTCTTGGTTCGCCTCCTATCTAAGCGCTCGTCGACAGACAGTGACGAACCCCTCCACAAAAACATCCGGCGACTCCGTGACCTGTAGTCGAGGGGTACCTCAAGGCTCTGTCCTGGGCCCCGTTCTTTTCACAATCTACACAAGACACGTAACAGACGTCACACCAACTCACACATCTAACATACTCTACGCCGACGATATAGGACTCTACACATCGAGCAGCTGCATCAACACGATACAGGACCGACTATCAGAGAGCTTCGATGCGGTTAAATCACACCTCACGGAACTGGGCCTCCTACTGAACCCTGACAAAACTCAACTATTAATCGTCCGCCGGAAGACAACCCCATTTCCACCTACCTTCACTGTCATCTGTGGTAACTTCCCAGTATCCCCTTCCCAGTGTGTCCGTTACCTTGGAGTGCTAGTCGACCAGCACCTTGCCTTCAAGGAGCAGGTCGGGAAAGTTGTTGCTGACGTCAACCGTAAGCTGGCCGCATTCCGCAGAATACGACATCACATCACCACCCAGGCACAACGTTCCTTTTACCTAAGCATTATCCAATCCACCATGGAGTACGCCAGCAACTGCTACGTTCACACGATATCAGCAACCCTATACAACACACTCATTCGATGCTTCAAACGTAGCCTCAGGATAACATTTGGCTACCCACCATGCCACCCAACCGCCACCATTTGTCAACGCCACAAAATTATTCCTGTCGCCATCCGTTATAACCTAAAGATATTTTGCCTTGTCTATAAATGTGTGCATGGCCGCCGCAGCCCTCTACTTGCCGAGCTTTTTGTACTTAGATCAAAATAGCAACCAAACCAATGCCTTGACCAGGGGACAGTCCGCCCTGGCTTTAGCCCTGCCTAATGCTTCGTCACGGTACGGTTTCTATGCTTTGCCTTACCTGGCTGCTGACAGGTGGAATTCGCTTCCAGCAGCATGCCGCCAGGCAGCCTCCTTTGCAATGTTCAACAGTACTCTTCGCAGCCTCTTTTGCAACACATAATGGCACAGTATGCAGCCATCGTATTCTTTTTTCTTTACTCTATTTCACGCACTTACGGCTTTCTTAAAGGGGAAGTTAAGAAAATATGCAGAATTTTGAAATTTTCAATTGGCTCTCAAAGGGTTAAGGCAAAAATTAAAATTACACCAGTTGTAGTCTTCGGGGTGCTGAGTCGAATGGTCGTGGTCCGAGGAAGCTGAGACGCTCCCTTCCTACTTGAATCCCAATCGAACTCGCGCACTTCCACCGAAACTGGGTGACTGCGCCCTACGAGATGGGGATTTGTATGCAAAATCTCACTAAAAGCGCCATTTCGTTCTTATAAAAGCATGGATGACCGCGATTAGCCCATATGTTGTAGTCTTTTGGACGCTGAGTCGACTGGTTTTGGT